GGTATCAGAAGATGCCTAACAGAGAACCTGAATGGTATGCGCGGGTTAAATGTTAGGTTTGTCTTAGTAGTAATGATTCGTACACTCTTTTTGGAGAACTAGTTTGACTTTTAAACTTGTGATTTGTAAATGTCTCTTGACTAAATCCCAATTGTTATACATTTCTCTACTCTATTATTATTAGTGTTTGTGATTTGTAAATGTCTCTTGACTAAATCCCAATTGTTATACATTTCTCTACTCTATTATTAGTGTTTTTCTTTTTTGACATGAAATGATTAGAAGTGAAACAAGAGACAGAGTCATTCTTGATCATGGTTGCATACACCAAAAGAACACTCAGGCATTCAAAAAAAAAAACTGTGATATTACCAAAAGAAGGAAGACACACATGTTCATTGATCAAACAGTAGCAGCAAGAGCCTTGATTAACTGATAATCTGCAGGGACAGTAAGAACATGATCAAACCACAAAACTTTCCCCCAAATCTCAAAACTAGTGCGTCTTTCAAGCGCAATCTCAGCACACAAAATCATCTTCCTTTGGTCATCACCTTCATCAGGAAAACTCTTGACCCAGAAAACGGCTAAGTTTCCACGACAATCAGCCAATTTAACACAAAAAGGACCACAAGGGAAGTTACCTAGCTCTAGCAAACCCTTGACCAATCTCCAACTGCTTACCTCAGTGTCATACCATCTGATCCTTCCGTCAACAGAACAATACATAACATTCCCTATCTGGCAATGCGAATCTTTCAACATTATACAAGCCATCTTCGTTTGAACTGGGTCCCATCTACTTTCCTTGGAATTGTAAGCAATCACCCCTCTACGGGCAAAAGGCATCACGAGGAACTTTCCGTCAATAAATGCGGTTCTGCAGGAGAAAAACTTGTCTTGTGTCTCGCTGCAATTGAAGGGCTGAGGATCCCAAGTTTATACGGTGAGTGATAGTAAATGTTGTGTGGCAACTGAATGTGAAGCTTACCATCGGTATGAGCATAGCCTTGAGATCATCATCTGTCATATGCATGAGAGCATCCATATCAACCTGTGAAAGACCGAAAAGGATAGGAACGTTATATATGCGTCATCAATAACATAACACAAATATCAACCTAATAGAAGATATTACATACTTCTTCCACTGAGTTATTTGACTTCTGTGGGTATATATTGAAACTCCTCAAGCTTACCAGTTCACAGACATCCTTCAAGCCTGAACACGTTGACCTCCTGATCAACGAATTTATTCTGGAACAATAAGGGGATGTAAATCAAGGGATCAAAATCATGGATAGTAAGAAAATTGAAACTAGGGAGAAGAGAAATTGACTTCTAATAAATATATATATATATATATATATATATATATATATATTCAATCGTGGATATATGAGAGAAGAGAAATTGACTTCTAATAAATTCTAATGAGGACGACGACTTCAATGACTGTCTATATATTATGCCTAAAGGCTACAAAACCCAACTTGTAAAAGACCAAATTTAATATGTTTTTGAGTATTTGACTTTAGCGGTCCATCGCATTAAAAATTTAAAACCACTTGTTTTCGGATATTGAAAATAGTGTGTAATTAGGTATTACTTAAAAAAATAAAGAAGGTTGGTTTCCACCAAAAAAAAAATAAAAATAAAATAAAGGTTGGTGGTAGAAGAGTTTGGGATGGCGCGGTCACTCTTGTTTACACGCATACTCTAGCCTCGATTACGACTAGTAAGTAATCAACATCGACGAAATATGCAAAATCATTGATTAACAAGTTTAATACCCAAACTATAATATCCACTCCACTTCCATAATTCCATTTCTACTACTATCTTTAACCTACCATAAAAAGCGATTTTGAATTTACGAAGAAGTATAAATATCAAAAAACTTATGACGAAACTATAAGAAGAATGCGAGTTTCTTAGAAAAAATAGATATTTCCAAGAGTGGTCACACAATTAGTGTTTTCTTTTCTACTCAACGGACATGTACAATTCCACTTTTTGACTGGTCACAGACCAACAATAATCTCAAGTTTAACCAGTAATCACAATCACAAATATTGACCTCTCTAAAGGTTAAGCAAAATAACACTTCTTTCGTTCGTACTCTATGAACTCGCTGCTGACCTCCTCCACATCCTTAGCCCTGCCGTGTGCGATACTGATCGTCTTCGTCAATTTCTTACGTTTTTTTTTGTTCGCCAATCCATGGTTTTGTTGGAGGTACCAACGACTTAGCTGCTGAATTCGTTTAGAAGCAACTGAATTTTAGAGATCCCCCAATTTTGTTTTCGTTTTAGCGTTTCTCGATCTGGGAATTGGTTTTTCAGCTCCAAAGGTTTAATGCCCCCGATAAGTTATTGAGGACGAGAGTTTAGGGTTTTTACACTACGTGTGAATTTTGATTAAAAGGCACAAACTTTACCTTTTTGGTCGGAACTGGGAAGGTGGGGGAATCAGACATGATTCAGTTACTATTCCTGGTTCTGTTCGTAGAAGGTGCGATTGCGTTCTTACTGTTGGTAAAGATTTTCTTTTCTTTTATTTGAATGATTCTCAGTGTAGATAGAGATGTTCTAGATAGAAAAATTGGGTAAATTTAGTTATCTTCTTCCCATGTACCCAGAGTTATATCCCCACTTCAGCTCTTGCTCAGTTGCTCCTATATTTGTTGTTATTAGCAATGGGATTCTAAAAGAGCTATTTTTATGTTTTCTTGTCTGCTGTTTTTGCTTGAATTTCAAGGCTTATACAACGTCTACTGAGTTATATACCTGGAGGGTGATATGAATACAGGCAAACAACAGCTTTCACTGCTGTGATTTTAGTGAGTGGGAAAACTAAGAATAATTTGATAAGTACTTAACTGATTTGTGCGATACATATCTTTGGAAAGGATGATCTCTATGATTGTTTCCACTCCAGTGGTTCCATAGTCTTGCTTGGTACTGCTGATGTTCACTAAATTTGGGAGGATTTGAAGGAGTAGTGAAATTTGTTGTGATGATTGGAATCACCTTTTGACCTCATGATCTTGCAGGCGTTGTGCTCTTTTTCGGCTTCATCATTGACTGAACGCATCATTACCTCGAAAAGCTAATCACTTTAAGAAGCAATGTCGGGTCATCGAAAGGAGAACTCGAACAACTTAGGAAGGAGAGAACCGAACTGAAGAGGAAAGAAGAGAAGACATCCAAGGAGATTAAGCAGCTGAAAGAAAAGCTGTCCTGTGTTTCAGAGAATCTGAAGAAAGCAGAGAAGGAAGCCAAAGAGAAAGAACCCATGTGACAGCTCTTCAAAAGCAGTCTTCAGAGCTATTGACAGATTGCTAGAAGACAACCAGAATCTCCAAAGCCAGATTTTGGTAGGAACAAAAAAAACCTGAAGTGATATATAAGCTCTTTGATAGAGTTTTAGAGTGTTTGTAAACGAATGGCTCGTAATTTGTAATAGTTTATGCGGAAATGGCATCCAAGGAAATGAGGAATTCTTGTACTCGTTTATTTTTTTGCTGGAAGGTAATGGAATTGCTCTTGGTTCTTCACCCTTTGATGATGTCTTCCACATGTTAAAAACTTATACGAAAATCAACAACATGAGCGAGAAGCCATCTAAACAATGAAACGAGAAAAAAAAAGGTTCTAACGCCGGCTGTGGGCATCGAACCCACGGCCACGTGGTTAAAAGCCACGCGCTCTACCACTGAGCTAAGACGGCCATTTGAACAATGGTACCTACTTCATATAGAAGACTGTATATTTTACATCGCAGGCACTGACAAAATCGACGCAAGAGAGAGTTAGAGCAAGTGCTGTGGCATCTTCAACTCTAGGATAACACCGATGGAAGAAACCTCCGATCGTCTGAATCCTGGAATCACGCCGGAGTTTGATCCGAAGTGCGTTCTACTAAACCTGGATTGAAGCGTCCCTTCATCACCACCTCTGTGCTCTTCTCATTCCTTTTAGGTATTATTATTTGGTCTTCTTAATCCCTTAAGCTCCGACTTTTCGATTTTACTTGCATTGCTTTGCTTTACTTTAATTCCGATATCGGAGGTTTCAGGTGTGCCATTTCTGTGGAAGTCAGTGGAAATATATCGCTCTCCGTTACCGTTCCACGACATCGATTCGCTTTCCGATCAAATTGAGTCTACTCCTTTGCGTTTCCCTTGCAATTTCCACGCTGTATTCGTCGGTTTCCGATCGACGGATCCGGATAACTTGCGATCTCAGATACAAGATGGTATAAATCAGTTAACTCATCAAAATTCACAATGTGGTTCCTGCAATTTTTCCCTCTCTGTCACCGTTCAGAACCGAGATGACCAGTGCTCTGAAACACTTGCGCACAGTTCTACTACGTGCTCTTACCGTTGTGGAGTGATCAAAAGAAATGTTTTTGGTGTTGGAGTGGATGATACAGTGGATGAGTCACTGAATGATGTGTTCAGTGGCTGTTCTGAGGAGAGTGGGAAAATGTACAGTGTTGTTGTGGTGAACAAAGAGAATGCCAATGGTGAAGATGAGGTAAAAGCTGTGGTGGGCAAGGGAAGGCATGCGTGGATTGTGGGGAATGGATTAGAAGAAAGATATGGTGACATGGTGGCTAGAGTTTCTGAGATTTTCGTTAAGGTGTTTATGAATGGTGGAAGAGAAGAAGACTCAATTCAAGGAGAGTTTATGCCTGTGGGATCAGATGGGAGGATTGTTCTTTCGTTCAGTCTATTAAATTCTAATCCACGTGATTGGGTCTACGATTGGTAATGATCCAAGTGTTATGCTTTCTCACAATTGTTTTGGATATATATACACTTGAAGCTTTTCTCGAAAATATGTCTTGCCATCATAACATTCGTTTTAGCCTTAGCCTTTAGGAAATCTTGTGTTTACCGTTTCTTTTGCCGTTCTTTGTTACTTGCCTGTGACTTGTTGTCTGTGCACTATGTTGACAGGGACTTTCAAAGGATAGACGAGGCATTGTTGGCTCCCGTGACTAAAGCCTTAGCACCTATAGCTAATATAAGTGTTGAAAGTCAGGTAGCATGCATTACGAGACCCAAATATTGGGCATCGTTGCTATTCTCTCGAGCTTCTGTTTAATGTTTTCTCTGTCTTTAGGTTTTGTATCATACACCGAAGTCTTCGTTTTCATCTTGGGATAAAAAACTTCAGAGCTACATCTTTAGGACCAGTGCTCTTCCCTTTTTCGTACGTACCCTTTCTCACAATCTCCATGGCTAATTTGGATATAAATGATTGTTTAAAATATCATTTTGAATGTTTTTTCCAGGTGAATTCGAACGAATGGCACTTGGATACTTCTGCTGGAGCCAGTGGACGGTCCAAAATACTGCAATTTGTGGTGTATATTATTTTACTCTGCCCATTCTTGCTTATTATGCTGCTTGATTCTGGGACTATACTATATTGCTTCCTGATAAACTGAGCAGATATGTTTGCATAGAAATATCTCAACTCTATGATCTTTCCTGATATTGTCAGATATATTCCATCCGGAAAAGAATGCCCTCTTCTTTTGCAGTTGCCAAATGGGGAGATATCTAAAACAAATGGCTTCATATCTCCGGTTATTGTCCACACATCTATATTTTATTTCCTTTTCCTAATATGTTGTTGACCTTCTTTGTGAAAACAACGGCATCTTGTCATTTTGTCTATAGATATGGGGCGGTGTGATTGTGTGGAACCCGGGAAATTGTGACAAGGACTCTGAAAGCTCAAGTAGGAACACGATATCGCCTCAGGTCCGGTTCTCTTTTCATAGTCATAATATGCTTTACACCAATTATATATTGGTTGATATTTTCACACTCACTTTCACTTTCATAGTCACTTTTCACTTTTAATTAAGTATTTGCAGAACCTTGGAAGATCACTGAAGTATCATCATTGATTTTGCACTTTCTGAAACAGGATCTCGAGCAAATAGTTGAAATTTTCTTGGGACAATTCCGACAACTATTTGGCTTTAAGTCTGAAGCCTTTTATACCAGTGGATTGGGCACTTACAAGATTCTACCTAGTGACAGAGGCTTTACAGAGTGGTAAGAATGTGATAAAACCTAAAATTGATGTGAGCTTATGGACAAAAAGGTTTCAAAGTAAAGCAAGGGATGCTAATGAGGAATGGATATTGATGGGTGTTGTCTTTACCGGTGTATCATTTGCAGGGAATTGGATGTCTTGTCAACGAAGCACACATGCTTCAATCTCCATTCTTGTTCAACAACCCTCGGTTCTCTCTCTAGATTGGTGTGTTATTGACTCCACATGTATAGCTGTAGCACGCGCTGCTGCATCATGGTGTTTCCATTTCATTTTTTTCTAATCTTCATCACTTGGCACTTGCAGGTTCGGTCACTCCCCAGGATGATTATCAAGGATGAAATTGGAGAACAAGTAAGTTTCTCAACTAGAACCCTTTTCTGGATTACCTTTTTCTGTTCTGATCATTCCATTGTGTTCCCCCAAACCAGGTGAAATATTCTCTGAAAGCAGCAAAGTTGGCTCAGTCTAATGCTTCTTTGGGAGAATACAGTTCTTCAGCCAGTATGTGACGCTTGACCTATCCTCAAAATACTCCCTGTTCTACCTTAAGTGTTGGTGAATCTAACAAGATATTGCGGTTTTGTGTGCCATAAAGGTTCATCAAGAGAAGCAAGGTCTCTAGCCGAGAATGCCTTCTTCCATCCATCTATCATGTCCGTCAGCTACTTCTCTTATGAACATTGCTTTGCAGTGTACTCGGTAAGATTCCTTGTCTCTACTACTGTTATTATTATTAGCAACTTTTTGTTTCTCTGAGTCTCATGTGAATCTGCTTTCCTGGATAGCCATTTTTCCTGCCCGTGGCAGGACACGTTGTCCTTGCAGCACTACGAGAATGGAAGAGATACAAACAAGAGAAGGCAAAGTACTTGACATGGCTAACCAGAAAGAAGACGGCCTAGGACTCTTTAGCATATTACATATTCTCTGTAACTTTCACTCTAGATTTCCGGCGCATTTGATTTAACTTTAGTTTTTGTCATGGGTTTCTCACACTTTGGGGCACTTTTTAAGTTTGTTTGAGCAATATGAGTACTTTGGTGGGAGTAGGTACTTTTTAAAGGTTTTTTCACTGTACAACAAAATTTAATACAATTTTGCCCTCAGATTTTTTATAAAGCCTTAACTAGAATAGTTAGAAAGTAAATGCAGATGTTTTAATTCTGGCCGTCGGATTTAAAGTAGAAAACAGATTTGATAGTGGGAGAAAATAATGCAAAAACAAAACTGAAAAATAAAACCTATATATATGCAACCATCGTCATCCTTATTTCTCTCTTCTTCTTAGATCTAAAATCAAATAAACAGAGCTTTTGATTTTACATAGTCAATGAAGAATTTGGGATTAGATGTTAAAATCAGAGAAACAAAAAGTGTTATAGTGTACTTTTCTCCTTCTTAAAATTATTTTTTTCCGATGACGACATCTTCGGAGAAGCTTGAGCCTGCGTTGGCGACGGAGATGCCTCGATGAAGACACTCAACTAAGTCGACGTGGTCAACACCGGCGCTGGTAGTACCAACCAAGCGAAGATTCGGGAGGAGGCGAATCAGATCGGCTGTGACGGGAGCAGCTACAGGGGCTATAACGGCGGAGACGGAGTCAGAGTGATTGGCCAAGAATTCAGGGAGAGGAAGCGGAAACTCGAAGGCTTTCAAGATCTCAAACTTGGTGGAGGCCACGAATCTGTCGCCGAACACATCCATGGCGGCGGGACGTTTGACGATGAGGACACGTGGAAGATTCTCGGTGGAAGAGCTCGTCGTCATCGTTGCTTGGCGTGAGATCGTTCTATGTCGCATTATTTATTAAAACACTGTTTTCAAAATTATTTCACGTTTTTTCTTTTTTTGTTCCAACAAATTTTTTCTGGTCACCACAAAGATCAAAAAGTGAACAAGTTTTGGTTCTGCTTTAGATTGGTCATGAGGATCTGAGTCTTGGATTTAGATTGTAACTGTTTCTTTCTTCTTGTCCACATAAATCTATTCATTTCACAATGTGACTGTCATGGAGGTGTTTCGCGCAGTATAAAGAATCAATGAATCAAATGGATGCATCAGATTGCTATGATAAAGAATGAAAAAATGGTTTTGAGCTTACAATGGGTGGTGAAAGAATACATGGTAAGCCACGTACAAATAGATGGTTATTTGTGGGTAGTCACTTGTGGATGGCTCCTTGTGGATTGTTGAATTTGATTATTTCTCTTTTGGTTTCTCCGATTACGTCCCATGACTCTATTCTCGGATCTAAAGCAACAAACATAAACTAAGTACACGATGATTTACTAGTTCCCTCTAGTTGCAATTGGCAACTCTTAGGTACGTCTCGGCGAGGATCCTCCTCCTCACGATCTTGCACTATAATCAATCAAGAGTTTACACTTGTGTTTCATTGGAGATTACACTCACTTACCCTCGGAATTAAGCCCTAACCCAAGATACATGAACAAGAAAAAGAATTAGAGAAGAGATACCCAAACCCAGAAATCTCTCACTAGCTCTCTGTTTTCTCTCTCTCTCTCTCTCTCTCTCTCTCTCTCTCTCTCTCTCTCTCTCTCTCTCTCTCTCTCTCTCTCTCTCTCTCTCTCTCTCTCTCTCTCTCTCTCTCTAACGAAGAAGATGAATCTTAAATCTTCTCGTCTTGTGTTCTTTTTGATGTAGAAGCTTCAAGTCTCTTATATC